CAATTCTAGGAATTACAGAGTATTCTGATGGAAGATTTGAACCAACACACCAATATTTAACACAGAAGTCGCTCCTGGTACCAGTTAGATTATTATGTAGAGGTTCTGCAGTATTTATTAAGGAGTTATCGTAGGTTTTTGGAACCAATTCTAGGAATTACAGAGTATTCTGATGGATGATTTGAACCAACACACCAATATTTAACATAGAACTAGTTAGATTATTATGTGGAGGTTCTACTGTAATAATAATACGACTTAAAACCAAATTCTCTCTGGAGTTTATCGTAGGTTTTTGGAACCAGTTCTAGGAATTACAGAGTATTCTGATGGAAGATGTGAACCAACACACCAACATTTAACACAGAAGTCACTCCTGGAACCAGTTAGAATAATATTTAGAGGTTCCATCCAGGCTGTGAGTATTGTACCAGGGGTCCTGGTGTCTCACCTGGTACTGCAGGCCTGTGGTCAGAACCAGGTGGTCGTAGGGCACCTTCAGGCCGGCTGATGTCCGGACGTGTTTGGACTTCCTGTTGATGGCCACCATCTTCCCCGTCAGCACGCTGACGCAGGCCAGGAGGGGCACGGAGGCCAGGTCCCTCCGGCTGTACGCGTAGCTGCAGGAAACAGGCCCACAGCCATCGGTTTAGTTTGGATTTATAGAGGAATCAAAATGATCAAAGATGGAAACGGTCGAATTTGGTTGGAACTGCATATTATGATGGTTTTCCTAATCATTTTCCAAAAATGGGAATGTGAAATATTAGCATGCAAAGCATAATTCTCTTTATTTTGGCTTTTTTTCATGCATACAAATGCCAAATACTCTCTCAGAAGGTAAAATTGAGATACTTTACTTTAGATTTTAAGAGAAATCTAAATTATCAAATATGGAACCAGTCAAACTTGGTTGGAATTGCACATTATGATGGTTTTCCTATTCCAATGGATGTTTTTAGCTGTTTAACTAAAGCACGGAAAAAATAATTCTATTTATTTAGGCTTTGTTCATGTATAAAAATGCTCTCTCAGAAGGTAAAATTAAGTTGAAATCGGGATAGTTTACTTTAGATTTTAAGAGAAATCTAAAAAAGGGGTATTATATAATTTAATCTAAATAAAAGTGCCATGTGGTGCTCAAACTGTCATCTCTCTCTTCAAATCAATCAAAATTAGCAGTAGTAATAAGCATATTATTCCTTTAGGACTTTTGAAAAACCCCAGGCCTATATTTCTCCAGATGCACACAGAAATTTACTCCTTCTGTTTTTTCTTTTTTTTCTTCTGAATTTCCCCTTGGGGATCAATAAAGTATCTATCTATCTATCTATCTATCTATCTATCTATCTATCTATCTATCTAT